AGTTACAACATTATAATGAGGATAATAATTTTGGATTTAATTCTAAAGAAAATTTACCAATACAAAATTATTTATCAGCGTTACAAAAAGGACATCAACAATTAAATTCAATTCAATATCCAACGGCAACAATTAGAATTGTAAATCGTCCATTACAACGTCCTAAGTATTATGGGACAACCACAGAAATTAATAAAATTCCAATGCATCATACAAAAAATTGTAAAAATGTTTCATGTAAACTAGATTGTATGAAAAAAATCAACGGTAAATGTATGATAAGTGAAACAAATTGTTTATGCAATAGTTGACAGATTGAAACTTAATTTTTGAAACTTTATTTATGCATAGCTTATATTTAAGTTATTTTTTAAATTAGAAAATGTGTGTGCATAAAAGAAATTTGTTTGTGAATAAAGTACAAATTCGAAAAAAATGATTTGTTAATTAAAAAACTAATCCGATGTTGTTAAAAGTGCATACTTTTTCTGGTTTAAACAAAATTAAAAGGCAAAATTTAAAAAAATTTAAATTTTGTGAGTCGTAAAGAAATATACGAAGCAATTTCTGCATATAATTCGTTAATTTTACTACTATGATTTAAGAATTATTCGATATTATTAAAAACGGATTAATGAGAAACTTGTTTCTTCACAATAATTTAGATAAATCATCCAAATCAAGTTCGATTTTAGATTTTGTTGTTCGCAATTAATTGCTACTGGTATAAGTTTTTAAATGTTAGTGATTCATCCACGATATTTCTTTTTGATAAACTAGCTAAGCTAAGTGTTTTGTTTAAACATACGAGCATGTTTACATATAAATTTAAGAATTTTTCCTTGAAGAGTGTAATATTGTATAAAGACATTAAGATTTCCTTTGTACGGAAGGGTGTAAAATGTATAGCAAAAATTCTGCAAAATAATTAAATTTATTAAGATTCGTTTGCCTGTCTATCTGTGTGCCTTGCTATTTTTTAGTTGCGGCTTTCGAACTTTTCTTCATAGAATCAATAGATTCTTTAACTTTTATAGTTGACTTTTGACTTTAGCTAAATCAATATTTAAGCGGTATTTTTTTAATAATCTACAACAACTATTTTAACATGGGAGCTTTTGCTCATGTCATCTGATAAAGAGAGATTTATTTAACTGAAATTCGTTTAATTCTTTGAAAAAAAACGATATGACCTAAAAATATTCACATTATTTTTTAGTTGGTGAGTTCTTGCACCTATAGACAGACGACTTTAAACATACAATAAAAGTTAATTTTTCGATACATTCCATAATATCGTTTCGATATATCTTAATGCCGCAATCAAGTTTTCGCATTTAAAAAGTAAATTTTTTTTGTAGTTCTTTACGATTTTTGTGACTACCAATAACATTCGCACTTTTGTTTATGGACTGGATCTTGCACCAGTGGGCCGCATATAATATTATTATTTTTTTAATGATATTATAAAAAGCCACAAATGTGTGAATTTTGGATTTTTTTTTTGAATTTTTATAAAATATAATAAAATATTTTCCAGTAATATTCAAAGTATACCCAGCAACACGTCATGTTAAATGTTTTCAAAACTACGTATTTTTTCCAATAAATTGAAATCGAAACAAATAATTGATTTTTTACTTTAAAATAAATTTTGTAAATCAATAACTGTTTATTGATTACACATGTAAAAATAATATTAGGACAAACGTTCAAAGCGAGTGGCCCTTCTTCCGTAGTTGTTTGCTGGAAATTGATCAGAGAATTATATTCCTAAAAATATTCCCAACCTTTAGCGAATTACACTGTATAAAACAAAGGTTTAAAAGATTTGACTTTTAAATAAAGTTATGGCAATAAAGAATTTTTGCTTTCTGGTAATTAAAACTATAAATTCGTTTTTAAATTTGGAACGGGGTCCGACATAAATAAGTATTATGTTTTATTTCTATTGCAATAACAGAAAAATTCACTGCATGAACTTAATATAACTTATAACATGAATTTACTGGCACAACTATCAGAAACTTAATGGAAATGGCTTTTTCATTTGTTTTGCATTCACTTTTAAACTTTTAGAACGTCACCGTTTTAGATATCTTACGTCAAACAAAGAACTATTTATTTAGCTCTAAATTTTTAAAAATTTCTATAACAACTGCTTTGCCATATTTTTATAATACTTGAGTTCTTACTACTGAAAGTAAATTATGAAAGTTATTTCAAAAAGATACACAACTCCATTTCTTTTATTTATGCAGTGGATGAAATTACCCATATATCTAAAAAAAATGAATAATTTTTAATTGAAATATAAAAACAAAAATTATTTAATTGTTATTCAATGTTAATTTATTACATTATATTTAAAATAATTAACTATCAATTATATTAACTATAAATGTATGTTTACAGAACTATTTTTCAATTTGTAATCAATAGGATAATTAATGGAAAAATTAATTTATGAATTAAAAATATTTATAAAGGCCCGTCTATTTATGTAAGTAAACATATAATATAGATTTATATATGTATATGTATATTTACAATATTATTCATTTTAAATCGAATTATGCGAATATTTTTTACTTCAAATTCATATTTTGACTTTAATTTTATTTTCCTGAAGGTACTTTGAAGAATTTTTAATTGTTTTATTGTATTTTTTTTTTAATTGTCTAGTTTATATGGCATGCAATAATCTTTATAAATAATTTTAATTTATTACTTTAACTATGCATTCACTTCGATCAAAGGACTTTCAAATTAACTAGGTAACATTAAAATAATTGAAAAATAAAAATGGCCGCGTTTAGTAAGTACGAGTATGGAATGTAAGCAGGGATTTCTCAACATGCAATAGTTCTATTAAAAAATTATTAATGCCACATTTGGTGTTTTAAAACCAATTATATACATACATATATGTACCTGTAATGTAAAAATATTAAATCTGTTAAGATAGGTACAAAATTTTCCCGCCTTACGATTTATATTTTGAGTCGGTTTTTCTTTGCTTTAACCCAATTGATCACGGCTCAATTTGCCACTTTAGTAAAAACAAAAATTTAATTACTGGTATTTAATTGTTTTATGCTAACTAGATTTTATAACGTTGACAAAATAAACCTTCTCGTTTAGGTTAGCATAACGATTTAGTTAATTAATTTGATCGAAGCGATGCATTTGACAAACACTTAAGAATCAAAATAAATTTAAATTTTTTATGTTTATAATACCGATAGTATCCTTTTATACGTCTTAATAGAAGTTTTTAGTTGCATAATAAATTTATTATTATACTGTAATGAATTTATATACTGTGTATTAAAATGTATAAAGTTTTGCCACAAATTTGGAGCACATTGCACATTATAAAAAATGTCGTATAACAATTACATATGTCAAAAAATAAACTTGATTTTAATTGAAGTATCTAATAGAAATTTTTTTGAAATTTCCGAAATTTCAAGAATAAAATTAATAAAAACCAATAAAAGAGAAATATCTAATAAAAATTCTCGCAGGTTTATTGGTACAAATCATTTTTGTTATTATAAATTGAATATGTCTGTCTGTATTGTGCAGTTATCCTTTCCTATTTGTTTAGAAAAGTTAAATGTGTGCGAAAAATGCAAGGTGTATAAAAGAGTTTTGCTTATATACGTGTTGAAAATAAGCGTGTTCGAATGAAATCGGTTTTTGTGCTTGATAGTTTTTTTTCTGTTCAAAAAAACAACAAAATGGCTGTTTTTAATTTAAGAGCATTGTTGTATATGTATGCATATATGTATATTAAAAGCTATGATGTTATAAAAAATAATATACACATTTAAACATTTAGTTTTGAACTTAAATAATTTAAGATTAAAAAAAAAACTTTTAAATTTATGTTTTTTAATATTTTAGCCACAAAATTATAGTACAAAATTCATATTAGGATTTTTTTAATTATGTTTTTAATTTTCAATATAGCAATGTTAGTTGTATATATATGTATATATGTATATTTAATATAAATATTGTTAAATTAAAGGCCTTGCTAAAAGTCTTTCTGTAAATAATTATATTTTAAATACATGTATAGGTTTCTATAATCTGATATAAATATAATTAATTTAAATAATTTTCATTTTGTTATACATTTATACAATACAACATTGTATATAGCCATATAGGTACATATATATATATTAATTTTCATATTAAAAAATGTTTATTTGGCTGAGTTAGTACCATACTGTATAATATAAATTATTTCGTTATGAAACGTTGATGATCTTATCAAAAATCTAATATCGTACTTTTGAAAGTAGATCGTCATATTCTCGAAGTCTTTATGACATATTATATTCCGCTTCTAAGTAATTCATTCATATATTCATAAATTTGCAGCCATTCTATTTTTCAAGAAGTTCTCAAGCTTTGGAGGCATACTATTTTTAATATGCCGTTTCATTACTTTATAAGCTCAATGTCAGTATAACGCTATACTAATAAATGTTTTTGTTCTTAGACTGTAATTAATTAGTGTTAGACTATTTTATTACTGATCACATTGCGAAAGTTATGTGATGGCATTAAATTTCGTATGTTGAACTTTTGACGCAAATGAGCTTTTCCGTGCTAGTAAAGCGTAAAAAATTATTTAAGATGTTATTATTTTTATTACAGAGAGATGTCTGTGAGATCCCCCTGCGATTGAGATAATGAACCAATTTTCACAAAATTTATAAATCTGGTTATTAAAACGATGAAACAAAATTTTTCAGTAATATAAGGGCTTCGAAACAAAATTTTTACTGGGGTCAGATTTTACATATTTTTACCAAGATTCCTTAGAAATAAGCTTATTGACAAATTATTTTTAAAACCTTATAGATTATGAATTTAGTACGTACTGTGTACATACTACATACTGTATATTCAAATTAATGTTCTTATGGCTAAAGTCTTAGCAAATTTTAAATAATTGTCTTACAATATTTTTGACAATTAATGTAAAATGTTTAAAAAAATTAGTAAAATCTCGTAACTTAAAAAAATTCATTGTACGTCATTATTTGTAGCACTATTTTAGGCCATCCAAGCAATATTTTTTTATAGTATTACAAACTCTAAAAATCTGTTTTAAAATAATAGGTAACACGTGAAAATAACTGCTAAGCATAGTGCCTACGGAATTTGTTATTTTGAGTTCATTTTTGATATACGATATTAGAAGTAATTTAATTTCGTTTTATCCAGATATGTATGATGGTTAATGAAATATTATTTCTAAATGAACACTTTGCTTTCGTGATCTGGGATAAATTATTGAATTAAATATAAATGAAACATCATATTAAAAGTGTTTTTCTGAATCCTACAATTTACCCCAATTTTTTTTTAATTACACCATTTTTTTTTGTCTGTGTATCATGCATACAAAAAAGGGACCCTAACTATACCGTTTAGATATTGATTTTTCTTCGTTTAAATAGTTAAATTTTTTGAAACGGAATATGAAATATTATTTTTTTCAAAGCGAAATATTTTAAATCAGTTTGTAACACTGAAAACATTTATTATACTATGGAAAATACATTTATTTTTAATCAAATTAATTATTCCTGACAAAATTCTAAGCTTTCGTAGTAAAAGTTTTGCATATGCAATATTAAATGAACTTACACAGTGCTTCCAGCTTCAAAAATTTGGCTACATGTAAAATGAACCTTAACCATTACTTTATAGTTAAGGTTTTCAATTAAATTTATAATTTTAAGTTACTATTTAATTATACTCTATATTCTATTTATGTAATTATGTAAATAGCTTTTAATAATATTCTTGGTAGTCCATAAATTTGAACAAATACTATATGTGAAAAAATATCAGTTAATATTTCGTAATTCAACTAACTTTAATTAAACTGGTTATTTTCTATGTAAATTTATTAAAATTTACAATAAATATTTTGTTACATTTAAATTGTATTTTGAATTCAAAATTTTTTTTATGTGTATAGAAAATTATAGACTTTTCTTCCAAAGATTCGCTTATTTTACAAAATTAATGAATGCATCACAAAAAAATTTCCTTTGAAATTTTTCAGAATTATTTTAGTTATTTTTTTTCGTTTTTTGTTTTGTTTTTTAAAGCTTTACTTTTACTTTTGAATTTTTTTTTGATTTTTTTTTTTTTTGGTTAATAGGCAACACCTTAACTTTGTAGAGGGTCTCAAATAGTTAAGGCAAATAATTGTTTTTATTTATAAAATAGTACAAGCTGAACCGTGCATTACTTCGCTTATGAACATTGGAGTACCAGCACCCAAACCGCCATCAGTTTTTTGATGTTCATTCTAAAAATATAGAAAAAGAAAACAGATTAAAGTTTAATATTTCATTTTAAAATTTATATGTATACATACAGGGTGATTCAGAGAGATATACAACATGTGTGTATATACCCATATATAAGTGCTTATACATATGTATATATGTATATATTTATATATATATACTTATACATATAATAAGTATACATTTTTTAAGCATATATGTATATACTTATATATATATGCTTAAAAAATTTGTTATAAGAAAGGATAACGGTTTGAGGGAAAGACTAAGGAATTAAGAACTTTACATCATAAATGTCTGTTTGCAAAGGTTCTACATGGATCAATATAAAAAGATGCAATTCGTAAATAAATTTTAGTAAAGGCTGTGTTTCACAGGAATAAAATTTTTTCGTGTCCACCTTCCACTCGAAGTTATAGTTGATCAAACTCATGAAAATACATTTTTTTTTGTACTGGGTCCAAATTCTATAAACCAAACGTATAAATATTTCAGGTTCCCGAACTTAATTAAAGCAAATTTCAGGTTTTCGAATTATTTTATTAACCGTAAGAAAGCAAAAGTGTAATGCTATAACAAGCCTGTCTCCCAAAACGGTACTCTTATTCTTTAACTATTCAATTTTAGTTTTATAGTACACTATATATACGTAAGAGTACCTCTGCAGAGTTATACATTATGTGGTAGGTATATGGTACCTCCATATATTAATTTTTTGAAAATTTTTAGAAAATAAATTAAACGTATGCCAAATTTCATGAAAGTACATGAAAGAAAAGGATCTTGATCTTTATTGTTAAACATTATTTATGCTCTCAATATGCTAATTATAAGTAAAAGAACTCAAATTAAATACTTGCTAAGATTTGGATAAGGATATAGTTTCCCTTATCTTAAAAATAGTTTTTTAATTTTATGTAATTAGTTTATATGTGTAAATGCATTATGCTACAATTACCTGGTCATATTCACAGTCAAAATAATTACTTTGACAATCCATACATCGACACTGGTCAGACATCTTACATGTTATTCCCCATTGTTTAGCTACTGCTTTGTAAATTTTCTTTGATGATTTATTACTTATAAAGTGTTGTAATTGCTCATGTGATATTGATTCAAGATTCTGCTGATTTGAATCCCAATTATTATCATTATCTTCATCATCGTAGTAGCTATTTTGTACATAATTTCCACTATTACTATAATTATCTTCATTATTCCTATTACTATTCTTCAGTTCATTCATTTCAGCAATATAACTGGGGCATTCTTGATCATTTTCTCCAGTACAGTACTGATGGCTGTGCATATTATCTATGTTTTTTTTAAATGAAAAAAAAATTAATTTGAAATATTTTATTCTAGTTTGGTGAATTTAGCAGTTAACTTCATAAGGTCTTAGTTATTCTTCACTAAAACATGTGTGCGTGTGGTACGACACTTAGCAAAATTAGGTCTCTTGAATTTTTAAATGTTTTGAAACAAAATAAGCAAGCTTAAAAATATCCTCGATATTTATATAGAAGTATGTATGAACGGCAGGAGATTCATTCATGATTGGTAAAAGTCTTACACGATAAACGATAAAGCTTTCATCAATATTCTGCTACTCACATTACTTGAGGTCATGTGATAATATTGAAAAGTATTTTGCATTACAGTGCAGAATTTCAAATTTTTAAATTGAATTTATTCAAAATATTAGAAAAATTGTTGAATACAAAATATTACGTTAAGGACGCGACTAACAGAACATGCGCGACTAGTTTTCAGAGCAGATGCTGTTTGGTATACACGAATGGAGAAAAAGTTACAATTCTGTTTCCCAATACAACAGCTATTTGTAATGTAGCAATTATTTTAAAAGAAGATAAAACAAGAGAAATAGAGTTGATACCGTGAACTCTGTGACATGCATATGAACTTGTTGCCTTATTGTGAACAAATTTGCAATAACTGACTATGGAACAGATTATGACTTTAATTACGCTGGATTAAACGGTTACAAACGGATTGGAGAATTAATAACACCCTTCAAACATACGTTCGCAAGGATATTATAGTTACCGTATTACCATTTCAATTTGCACACAGCAATTGAAGTTTTATGGTAGCTACCGCAAGAAATCAAGAAATTTCGATGACTTTTATCACACATAACAGTTCTAATAATATATTTGTTTGTGCGAAGTTTCAAAATTATAGCTTCCGTAATTTTAGAGATATATTCAAATAACTTGAAATAAAAATGAAGTTTCAGGGTAGCTACGCGAACCACTGATTTGATCACATCCAATTTAAATAAGACTCCGGCATTTACAATTATAAATCATTTGTGAAGATTTGGTGAGTTTAGGTCAATTAGTTTTCGAGTTATCGTTCGGACGAAGGGAGGAAGAGTCGGACGGACCTGCAAACGGATAGACATATCCGTATTATTTTCCAAAAAACCAAATTAAAAGGAATTCAAAATGAATCATTAAAATTTCACCAATTTTTTATAAAGAATCTCACAATACAAATAGCATTCTAAAGACAAATAAAAAAATCTGATGTGGTCAGCACATAACCGACCGCATTGTGTATTGTCTAGTTAAATGAAAGTGTTACAGAATATTATAAAAATGTCTGTTAAATACTTCTTTCCAATTTTTAGGACATTAGTAAGCTTATAGTTAACATAGCTAGAAAAATGTAAATATGGCTCTTAGTAGAGTTTCGCTTTGTGCTACCCGAATTCCCTGAAATGCTCGCCAGTGAGTTTCGGTAACAACCAGAACTCAAATATCAAATTTTCAAACATCAAATTCTATCAACCCGTTCCGTAGGTATAGTAAAAAATGTAAAATCAGCCCGCAGATCAGTTTTCGAGAACTGATCTTTCCAAAAAATTTACATGTTCATGTAACCAGGAATTCATATATTAAATTTCAAAGAAATCGGTTGATTATTTTTCTTTATATACACAAAAATGTATATTTGGCCCGTAGTAAACGTCCAGTTGCTGATGCCTGATTTCTTCCAAAAGTTAGGAATTTTTGCGGACGGTCGAGCAAAGCTTATATATGAAATTTCAAGAAAATCGGTTGAATATTTTCTTCAAAATGTTCAAACATGTCAAAAAGGCCCGCTCAAAAGTGCAGTTCCCGAGGCCTGATATATACCAAAAGTTGATCAATCCGTGCCATGGTAGAAATAAACTTACATATAAAATTTCATCAAAATCGGTTCAGGTGAACTTGAGATACACGCCTGCACACACAGACCGACAGGTTGCTAAAAATAGTTTATTTACACTTCCCTACTATGGAGAAGTGCATTCCAACCGAAAACTCGATATGCAAAATTTGTTGCCATCACATGACCTACCTATTGTTTACACAATACGGTCGGTAAAAATTAATAAACATACAAATATATACATATGTACATATATGTACGTTTGAAAATCGAATAGTTTAAAAATATTTACCGTATGAATTTTCATCAATATCATTATCAAGAATCACTCCTTCAATAACATTATCATCATTTTGTTCATGTTCATCATGTTGTTGTTGTTGTAGATGATTTTGTTCATGCTCTTGATGATATCTTTCATCTTTACTATGTTGTCGATTATTTGATGTAAGTAAAGATGGTGATATTGATGCTCCTGATGATGTTGATGCATGAAATAACGGTTCACATGAGCCGGTACATTCATCGTCATTACTATTTAATAATAAATTTTCTTGTGATGATGGTGGTGTTCCTGTCATTGTTGATATTAAATATTCTGTTGAATCTATTGATTCTTTACGATTTCCATCTATATTGTTCAAACCACATAAAATTTGATTTGTATCATCTGTTATATTTGAATTTATTGAAATATTGTTAATTTCGTTTCCGATTCCGTGTATATTATTATGAGAATTTCGAATAAAATTTGAATTTAAATTTTTCAATTGTGATTGTGCTATTGTATTATTAGCTGCTGTTTCATTTTCTATTGTAGATGTAGATAATAAAATATTTTTTGTTGTATTTAATTCCTTTAAATTTGTGTTATATTGTTGGGTTGATGATTTTATTATGGATGATATTTCTTGATTTACTTCAGTTTCAATATTAACTAAATCACCATTTACAATATTACTTTCTGATAATGATGATGCGATTTCTGTTGATATTGTTAAACGACTCCCTAAATCCAAATTTCCTAAATGCTTCTATAAATATAAATTACAGAATATTAATATCTAATATAAATGCAGATATTATACATCTTTTTATGCTTATAACTAGGTATAAATTGTATGAGTATATCTAATATCTAGAAGAATATAAAAATTAATGGATTGACTTTTATTGTTTTCTTTCCACTTTATGATAAATTAGCAAATTTTATGGATTGGATTCAATGATGGATGTTAGTATAAAATTACTTTCGTATTTATGCCACATCGATCCTGTCCACATGAACATATTTTTTATAAGTAAACTACAAGGTATATGAAAAGATGAATATGTATATGTAGATATGTAATTGTAGATTTTATAAACTGATGCTTTAGATCTCAGGTTGCTGATACCAGATTCTTTTAACATTTTTTTAAAATATCTTTTATTAAATATTTTAACACTATTTCAATTATAATTTCATTTTTCTCTGCATTTAATTAAAATAGTATTTTATGATCATCTTTGGATTTTAGTTAATTGAAATCACAAAACTAAATCTATTAAAAATTTTACCGAAAACATTAGAAAACTAAATTATTTGCTAATCCCTCTCAATTGTTTGTTTTAACAAAAAGTTTTGACTTCATCATTCAATTCAATTTCAATTTTTTTTAGCGTAAAACTGATGATATTTTTCAATTTTGTATGCCCACAACTGCTATATGAAAGTAAATTCGGGTCCCTGTTATTAATTATACATACTTATAAACCAAAATTTATGGTTTTTATAAAAGAAAATGAAAAATATTTAAACCCAGACATTAGATAAGGTTTAACATAACAAAAATAATACAATAATATTTTATTGGTTTGCCTTTCGTAAGGAGTTAAAACCAAGGCATGTAAAAACACCCATATTTGTCATAAGTCCGTTAACTTTTTCAAATTCTTTATAATACAATATATATTGGAAAAGATTCACTTTTATATTTCTTGCTCGTATATAAATCAGAGGAATTACTAAGTTTTCAAGAAATCGAGCTAATGGTTATAAAAAACGTAAAGTTTACATTTTACATTTACAAATAGTTTACTATTTGACAGAATACCAATTGTTTGTACATTTTAGATAAATATGAAAATGTTCACCTAATATTTTTATGAAAGAAGTATGTAGCTATATAAAATAATTACTATAAATATTAACAAGAATTAGAATAGGCTAACATAAAAATAATAAATTAAAAACTGCCAAATTTAGTACAAAACCTTGGGAACAAATCGACTTGCACTCAAGAAAAAACTCAAGTGTTATAAAAAAACTTCGAATCGGGCATTATACACAATTTTATTTTTAAATCAGCTCCAGGAAATCCTCCAACTTGCCAACGTAGTGAAAATTTTCTTTTAATAATTGATCATATTTTTAATACAATTGTGCACTTTATCACCCAATAAAGATTTTCTATGGCATAGAAAATATCAACATATTAGGAAGAGATTATTCTTTAAATTTTATTAGGGAAAATGATTATTTTTCTTAAAAAATTATTGAAAGTTAAGTGATTAGAAAAATATGCAATATTTCTTACACTTTTTTAGTATATTGAATTTTAGTGCTCTTATTTGAAAATATAAGTAAGGTATGGTCTCCTAGATTTATAAAATGTGAATGCATATTATATAAAAAAGTAAAATTCAATTAGAAAGTAAAATGAAGGAAATCAAATATAAAAATGCCATTATAGGATCTCACTCAGTTAAAAGAAATGCATAAAAATACTCGGAAGCCGGAAGTAGAAGGATAAGCAAGAAACTAAATTCATATAGTCAACTTTTATATAAAATTTAAGGACAAAATTTATTCTGTTATAGAGGCAATTATAAAAAGCTAACACAATTTTGCATCTAGATGTAAGGTCGAAAATATTTCAAAAATTTAGTTTCTATAGCTATAATGACAATTAAATAATAGTTTTTCGACACAGTTTAAAAAAGTTTATAAAATTCAAATGGTTTGAAAAATTGCTGGTTATAAATTCAAGATTCTGTTAGGGTTTGGAGTATAAAAATATGCATAATAAGAAAACTTTGTTCTACGAATAGATGCTAAATTTATGTGTATGATTGTTATTAAAGTAAAAAAGTGATTCTTCTTTATAAAAATTCTTGCAGTATTTTTTTGAATAATTGAAGTAGGGTAAACTTTCAAAAAAGTAAGGTCTGTTGCAATAAACAATTTTTGTTATTTAATAATTAAGTATTAATCAAGTAGTTAAATATATCATGTGATTTTATTAGTTTGTATGTTGTTTGCAAAAAATGCATAGTCGATACATTTGCAACAAATGCTTTATTATACATACTATACTAAAAATATTTAGATATGTTATATTTGTTTGAAATGTTTACACTATGCATTTTTCGCATGCTTTTAAAACACATTACACACGTTTTACTGACAAAACTATATGAGTGACAGAGGAAAATTTTTTGTATGACATATATTCTAGCTCTCAATGTAGCGCATCGAAAAAAACCAAAAACAAACTACAAATTTCGAGAAATTTCGAGTTTTAATAAAAAAAAAATTCAAAAAAAAAAAATTCCAAAAATAAAAATTTCTGATTTTGGCGAGCTTTATCGCGAAAAGTATGTCTCAAATCTAATTGATTGTAAGAAAAAGATTGCAAAAAATAGGACCATCAATTACCTGTGAAACAAGCACCTGGTAACAGGCTGTAGCTGAAAGTCTGCTGGAAAGTTTGCTGAAAAAATTATCCCCGAAATTATTTGCCACCTTTTGCGAAATACTCTGTATACATTAAAATTTTTACAATTGAAAAACATTTTTCCGATTGGCAAACTTTCTGAAAGTCGGTATATGAAACTATACTAATTTCACAGATGAAGAAAGTAATATAATATATTTTTTATATTTTATTGTAAAAATTTTCTTTTGCTTTCATTTATAGATTTTTTAAAATCATATTAAAAAATAAATAAATATCGGATACCTAGCACTTACACAATGTATGAACTCGAAGACTAAGTAATTGAGTTAGTATAAATGATTATATTTTTTAATGGCGTGGCATTACCGTTCGGTTTCTGGTTTATAGAAATTTTGAAAAGCTTGCAGTTTTGGAAACATGATTTCGAAGTTAATTTGGAGGAAGATGAAGCTGGAAAGAGAGTTTCTTTTCACAAAATAAACCATTTATTTCTGCAAACTAAAATTTTAAACTTCCAAAATTTTTCGTTTAAAGAAAACCGATGTCAAAAATTAAAAAGGAAAAATGGGTTTAAGATGATTAAGACAGGCGTTTTGCAAAATTGACAGAAAAACGGACGGAATGAAACAAATCCCAATATCATTGAAAACATGCTAAAACATTAACTTATTCCATAGAGAAAGAAACATTGATTTTTTGAATTTTTTAAATAATTTTCAAAATATTTAAATTATAAAAAAAAATGGAAAAATTTCTAAAAGATTTTTGAACATTTTGGCGAGCCCGCTAGAAAACATCATGGAAGCCGCGGCTGTCAACGCTCAAGATTCGCTGCTTTGACTCTTACCCTGTACTATTCTGACGAATCATGCTATATATTCCATAACACATTTATATTATATGCATAAATACAAATACATACATACATTTAGAAATTTTGTTTAGGTATAACAAAATTATTGGGGGCATATTTAAAAAGGTTAAATTGATCGATATTACATCAAAATGGGGAATTATTGAACAAAAATAAAAAAAGAGAAAAGGTATTACAACTTCCAATTCAATGATTACATTATCCTGGGGGAATATATTTTTTATAGTACATTAAATTTCTGCTGTATATGTATATTGTATCTAGGTTAAATTTGAATGTGAGTACATACAATATTACATTTGAAAATATTATTCATTGTGCGGAGGAGTCTTTGGTTACAAATGAAGATATTATGATAATCATAAATTACCTAATCTCTATTCTTTTTATAAATATACATATACAAAATATTTTGAAGAAGAAAAAGAATAAATTAAGAAATTTATTATTATTTTTATTAAGAATTTTTTTCGGATTATTAAATTTGAACATAAATTTGTGGTGATAAATATTATCTTTTATTTTCATCTAAAAAATTTTGATTTTATATTGATTTTGCAATATTATAACAATATCCATATACAGACGCAGATATTAGAGTAAAACTAAATTTCCTTAAAAAGCTACCACTGTTTGCGTAAAAGAAAATTAATGCAGTAGGAAGAAAATTAATGCACGATTGAAGTAAATGTTTAGGTGGCAGAAGACTTTTGAATTGTTTCATTATTTTTAATTTATGATTGAATAAAGTATTGCGAAATTGCAATATAGACTTTTTCAATCAATTTGCATGATCCGTAAAAATTAATATTTAAATCTTAATTCCTTTTTATATGACGTCTTGACGTCTTGGCTATAACGTCCGTAAAATCCTGTTTGATAATTAAACTTAAGTTTCAATTTCTACCAAAAACATTATTTTGCATTGTCGTTTAAACAAAACATAAAAATTTTAATATTTTTTTTTTTTCTATTCTTAGGTTAATTGTTTCCAACTGAATAAAAAGTATTCCACACATTCTTTTAAAAAACATAACATTCTAATCTACTCCGATTTTATACTTAATGAATCAAAATTTGTGAAATAATAAATTATTTAATCACAACACCGACGCTGTTGTAATTTTCTGACTCTTATAGAATTTTCAATATAAAAAAAAAAATAAGAAAAAAAAATTATAAAAAGTTCTTTCCTGCAGAACGTGGAGAATTAAAAATTAATGAGGGGAAAACTTACAATGGGAAGTTTTCACTTTCACATTATTTGAGGAATAAAATTTATGCTTTTGATGTGCATAACTTTAAATGTGATAATAAATACACATACTTATATAAATACGTTATGAAAATACATATTTATATCTAACTATATGTAATACTATATACAAAATATCTACATACTTACTTCTTCTAAAACACGTTCATAAGATGATGGTGAACTATTCCCATCAACTGACGTACCATCAGTCGTATGTGTAACAATTGGATTTGTATAACCTGTGGAAAATATATACGAAAAATTATGTTGGAAAGCAAAAAAAAAAAAAAAAAAAAAATTGGACTAAAAAAAGGAACAAAAAAAAATATCACCTGAGAAATTTTATTTTTGCACCTCTTACTTATATTTTTGCAATTTAATTTAAATAAAAACCACCATTAAAAAGGGTGGCATTATAGTGAGTGTCTGGTGTTCAAAAGTGCTCTTCGTTTTACTTCATATTGTAATAAGTTTTACATAAAGTTAATGTTTTTGTATGTTTTTTAATAATAATTTTTGTTGTGTTTCGTTTTTTCTTTTTTTAGTGAGGAAGAAACATGAAAATGATTTTAGAGATTATTAAAAATAAATTTGAAAGGAAATGTTGGAATATATTAAGGAAATAATCTTTAACAATAAAATATAAATGAAAAGTTGACAGAATTAAAAAGTATAATAACGATTTTTTTTCTCTTATACGTTCATTTAATATACGACTACACACAAAATTAACATGTAGAATGCTAAAGCTAAATTGTGAGTTATTCAAAAAGTTATTCAGAGGTTGAGTTGGTATGGTTTAAAGAAAGGTTTTCTGTGTAATGGAAATTAAATTCGCATCTTATTACATAATATAAAACAATAAATAAAAAAGGAAGAAAAAGTTAATGTGAAAGACGGGAATATAAAAATGTACGTGAATTCTTGTGGATATGCTATGAAAATGTCTTTGAATTTCCTCTTCGACAACTAATTTGTTTCAATAATAATCCTTAATTAAATTATTTGTTACTTTTTATAAAAAGTACTATATAGTGTTATACTAAATAAAATTTGTTAAGTACAACCAAAAAAACAAACATCAGAACGTAGAAATTTTTTGAGAGAAATGAAGAAATATAGCCTTTGCTAGTCACTTGACTACTCAAAAATTTTACAAACATATATTTAGCAAACTTCTTAATCTCAGCGGATCTATACAAAATATGAATGCAGAAAGGAATGATCCATTCAAAATGTAATTGTAATACACGGTGTTACAATTATGTTTGGAGGAATTTAAAAAGTGCAATGTTCCGTACTTAAACACAATGTTATAAATGAAGAGAATCTATTTAGAATGTCATAATAAATAAACTTAAATAAACCAATAAGCACTTCTTACTGATCTACGTTGCCTTATACTAAAGGGAAGAATTTTGACATACCTGATTAGCTTTTTCAAAAAATTTTCAAAATTAATTCCAAAATCCCGAAAATACATTTTAAAAATCGTTTAATGTCAGAACCAAAAAACAGAAATTAAAAAGAAATATAAGAAATGTAAAAATATGTAAGTTGCTTTTATTCAAAAGTTGAGCAAAAAGTAGGAGAAAGTAACTCAAAAAGAAGTTTTCAAGAAAGCTGGCTAAAAATTTCAGAAAACAATTGTTGGCTTTTTCCAATAAAGAGTGGAAAAATTGATATATGCATAGTTTGTGAACTGAAGTAACTGAAGTAAAGATGCGTACGAAGTTTTAATGCGTTTTGCGCAAACTGAAAAACTATAATTTGGATATACAATATTATTTTATGAGCATATGGCAAGTAATGATCGTTTAATGGATGAATAGACGATAAGACCACATACCCACATATTCTGACAGTCTCAAAATATTTATAGATAGTGCAAAAAGTGAAGGGAGAACTGCGATGAGGACACAAAACCATAAATGCGCTAATGACCCAAATCACCTCGAATCAATAAAATACACTAGATTTGAGATGGGATGCATTCTCTTCCCTGAAGGGCTTTTAAAATAATACCCAATAAAAATCCAATAACTTTTATGTTCTTGCAATGCCAGATTAACACATACGTTATATAATACTTATTGTAACTATTTTACCTAAATTTTGTATTAGACTGACGTATACTTTTGTGTAAAGCCTATTTGTACTTTATTTGTTACGATATTGTAAGAAAAAATTTAAATATTAAATGGTAGAAAAAATTTAAGATTTAAACTTAGTTTGACATGTAAATCTTGTAAAAATGTAAGCTGTAAAAATAGCTATACGTCATCATAGTTTGACAACAAAATTTATCTGACGGTAAATAATAGAAATTACTTAACTCTCATCAGATTTACTGTGAGGTTTTTCAAAGTAAAAATAACTACAATTCATTTTTTGCGCAAGTGTTGAACAGGGATCAGTTTGTTTTAAATTTTGTTATAATTTTCATAATTTCAATCTGATTTGTAAATAGTCTTCAGACTTCATCGTAGATTTATTTTTATATTTTGTGGTTTCATATTACATATTTTGTTACAACAAACTAACCGGGATATTGGCATTCTTAATGCCAATTTGGCATAATAAATTTAAATTTTGCATTAAGATTTCAAAAGATTATGGCAAGTGTATTTTTAGCATAATCGTCTTTTAAAAAATCTGATGTGATTAGCACAAAACCGATCGCGATGTGTATTGTCTTATTAAGTTAATTTCTAATTTTTAGGGCATTAGTAAGCTTTTAGTTAACATACCTAGAAAAACATAAATTTGGCTCTTAGTAGAGTTTCATTTTGTGCCATCTAAATTCCCTGAAGTGCCAGTTAGTTTTGGTAAAAACCAGAACTCAAATATCAAATTTCAAGAAATTCATTCAATTCGTTCCGTAGATATTGTAAAAAATGTAAAATCGGCCCTCAGACTAGTTTCCGAGTCCTGATCTTTCTAAAAAATTTATGGATTTATTGCTTTAACACTTCGAATTTAAATGTTAAATTTCAATGAAAGCGATTGATTATTTCTCTTTATAAAGGGAAAAATGTATATTTGGCCCGTAGTAAACGTCCAGTTGCTGACGCCTGATTTGTTCCAAAAGTTAGGAGATTTCGTGGACTGTCGAGCGAAGCTTATATATGAATTCAAGTAAATCTGTTGAGTATTTTCTTCAAAATTATCAAAAATGTAAACCAGGCCCGCTAAGAAGTGCAGTTCCCGAGGCCTGATATATCCCAAGAGTTGATTAATCCGTGCCATGGTCGAAATAAACTTACATATAAAATTTCATCAAAATCGGTTCAGCCGAACTTGAGATACACGCATGCACATACAGACCGTACGTTCCCACCGAAAACTCGGTATGAAAAAATTGTTGCCATCACCTAAACTACCTATTGTTTACACAATGTGGTCGGTAAAATGCAATGGAAAATTTTTGAAAAAAAAAGCTGCAAAGTTTTCTTTTTATAGACAGCCTGCTTTTATTGTGTGATATATAATCCTTATTATTTCTTATTTTGAATATTTTTAAGACTAAAAAGATGGTAACATTTATTTGCATATTTATCAGTTGTGAGCTAAAAAAATAATAAAGTTGGGTCAAACCAATGATTTGTATTGTAGCACTTTTCCCTTCAACAAGTGAAAATTGTGCTTTTAAATACAGTCTATGTATAGCTATCACACTATTAAAATTATTTTCATTCATATACAAAACTATTTCTAAGATTGCATATATTTAGGATGACGCATATATGCAGTCTTTGAAATAAAGCGAAAATTAATATGAAGTGGGGTTAACATAATGCTCGATTTTAAGCGTTAATTGTGTGAGTTAAGAAAACTAATTATATTTTTTAATGTCACGGAATTTACCGTTAGTTTTTTACGTTTATAGAAATTTGAAAAACCTTGCGGTTTCGGAAACATAAGGTGCCAAAAATTCAAATTTTACAAATTTCAAGAGGCGATAACTTGAGAGGGGATGGAGATGGAAAAAAATTTTCTGCTAACGAAATGAACTATTTATTAATGTCTAAAAGCCTGTAAAATTTCAAGCTTCTACAGACTGGGGTCTAGAAGAACAACGACATCAAAAATTTGGAAAAAAAAGACTTTAGATAACGGTAAATTTAAACGGCCATTTTGTTTTTCTAAAGTTTATCTATAATATACTGAGTTAGGGAAAGTAAGCCGCTGACTTTCTGCGTTTGCAGAATTTCAAAAATGCTTATGGTTTCATTGCAACAAATAGTTAAAAAAGGCCATTTTTAGGGTTTTGGTGGGGTATAACTTCTAGAGGTGGGGAGATAGGTAAAAATTTTGTTCTACAAAAATAAGTTTCTAGTACAGATCTATATACGTACAAAATTTCAGCTTTTTATCTTCAAGGGTGTAGATGTTTTGTAAACAGACACACGGACAGACGAACGGACGGACAGAGTGAAACTAATAAGCACTTTTTTTCAAAAATTTTTTGGAAAAGTGCTACAAATGGTTTGTTCTTTTTATTAAACACCTTTGAATTACCAAATTTTTTAAATTTGGCATTGTATTTTGCTTAATCTAGAACTATTTAATCGGTAAATATCCCAACACTGATTATACTTTGAGAAAAATAAGCTCAAACCAAATTAAACTAACTATTTGCGTTTCACTTGGAAAAAAACATTAAAGAGTTCTGTACAACTACAAGAATTTCAGAAATATTTTAATGTTTGTGAGGATAAAATAACATCTTACGAAAAACGTGTTGGTTATTATCATACAACCTTGTGTATTCCTACAAGATACATATATAATAAACATAATAGTATAATGAACTTTTTTCATCTTCAGGATGATTGCATACGTTAAAGCATCCGTTGATTAGTTATCTTGTGTTTACAGAAAATTTATTATAAAATTTGAAAAAATAAATGTTTGCTTTAATTTATTCTTCACTTTGAAATTGAAAAACAACTAAAAAAATAATGAATAAAAACAATGATTTTTTGTAGCACTTTTCTAAAAAAATCTTGAAAAAAAGTGTCTATTAGTTTCACTCCGTCTGTCCGTCGTGAAGCAGTTTTCAAAACTTCTACACCCTTTCTTCAGAACTGAAATTTAATATGTACGTACATATTTACTAGAAACTTATTTCCGTAGAAGAAAATTTTTACCTATCTCTCCCTTATGTCCAAGAAACTATAAAAATTTTTCAAATTTTGACGACGCAGAAAAATAGTGTTGGGCTTGCTGCACCCTGGCATACCATATTGAAACTTTAGAAAAACAAAATGGTCGTTAAAATTAACTATAAATTAGTTTTTAGATATTAGTAAATAGTTTAATTTGTTGAAAAATTTTTTTTTTCCACCTCCATTCGTTCTCAAGTTATCCCTTCATGCAATTTGGAAAATTTGGATTTTTTGGACTTTATATTTCCGAAAATGCAAGCTTTTCCAAATTTCTATAAATGCAGAAACCTAATGGTAAAAGCCATACCATCAAAAAGTATAACTATTTATGGTAAATCAATAACTTAACCGTCCAATTCGACCATTATGTTTATGTTAACACCCCTTTCAATTTTTCTATTTTGTTCATCCTAAATGTATGCAATTGTTATATGGTTAAAAATAATTTAAATAACGTAGTAGATTGTTATTGAAAGTAGTATTCTCACTTGTTCAAGGGAAAATTGCTTTTCTATAAACCATTAGTTTGATCCAACTCTACTGGTAAAACAAAATTAATGTTTATTATTTTTTGTTTCATCGTTTTTGCTACTTTCGTCTGTTTTTAAACATTACCAGGAGGAAAATAAAATTTTAAAATTAAAAAATTGTCTAAATCTAAAATCACTTTTAAATCATAATCAAAATACATTTGTTAAGAACACTGCGAATTTCCCCCTGTATAACACCTTTAATTATAATGGAAATATAAATGTAAACTAAAAATTGCTTAATCGGTTAACAAACATTGAAATGTCAAATGAATAGCAACATTTGACGTTAGAAACATTATAAGTATTCTAACGCAATTACAGTTGCCACGCAAATTTGTTTAGGAATGATAAAACAGCTTCAATATAAATGCAGCTAATAAAACGATAACAGAAGTTTTGTTTTGAAAATTTTATATATGTCAATATTGTGAATTGTGAAGTATTAATATAGTAAATATTTTAAAATATTTGTGCGATTGACTTAATGTGTAATTTAAATTATTTACATGAAGGTTTATATTACTTACCTAATTTTTCAATTGTTGTATTCGGCAGTAAGGATTTTTTATCATTGTTTTCAATTGAGATTAAACTGTTACAATCAGATGAATCTATTGTTGAATTACTGGCTCCAATATCCAAATTATTGTTATTACAATTATTGTTGTTGCCTAGTAATGATTGATTTACTTGTGGATCAGAATCGACTTCTTGTGATGTACTTCTTGAACTACCCATACGAAATTTTAATTTAAATGGCGCCATTTTAAAATATTGTTGTTGTTTCTTTTTTTTTTTGACTTATTACTTTTTTTTTACTTATTTTCTTATAATATTCTTATTAATATACGTAAATATAATTTCTTTTTATTTTCTAGAGAACAGTAAAACTACACACCAATTATAGAAAACATAAAAATTTAGAAATAATTGTGTATAAACAAATTGACAAGTTTGTAAAATGTCATATAGTGTCAAATTTTATAGTTTTTTATTAATTTAAATAAAAATTTCACATTTAGAGAACGCATAAGTTCACAACAATTATTTTTAGAAATCAAATTCAAGTATTGAAAAAAGGTAATAGAAATAAAAATATTTTGATTTCGTATAACAAAAAAGATAAGTGCACTTTGAAACTAATATATAAAACAAAAAGTGTAGTTAATTGATCATTTAAATTTATTTAATTTTAATATATTTTGTTTTATTTTATTTCTAATTTATATTTAGAAACTTCTAATTTTTTAGTAGTATTGCAGAATTTATGGTGGTATTTTTTTTTTATTTTGAAAGCTTAACTTTCAATCTGAAAGTAAAGGAAAGAAATACATCAAAATTAAGATTCATGACAGAAAAAACAAAATAATAATCAAAAAATGGCACACTAAGGAAATAAATTTTGGGAATGATTTTGATAGCGAGCATTTTGATATTAAATTGAAAATCAAAGCGTTAGAAATTAAAATGAATCGATTAAAATTCTGCTACGAAAACATAATTTCATTCAAAATAATTTTAAATTAAACAGGAAACGTGAATTTATAGCAATAAACATTAAAATCATAATAGAATAATATTTTTATACTATTATGATTTTAATTTATAATATTTTTGAATGTATTCTATTTACGATGTTATTATCCTCAATAAGAAACTTTATTGAATTCGAAACGATTTTCAAATAAAATGTTACCATTGAAATTTAATAAGTGGAGTGTTGCAACATGATATGAAAAACACAACTAATATGTATCCGAAATTGCATACACTGAACAAAAATTAGTAAAATTATACCAAGAGTTTCAGGAATGAAAAAATTCTAATTATATTTCTAATTACGAATTCTAACGATATAAAATATTCTAAATTTATTTCATAAATAAAACAGTGAAGTGTAACTTATAAAAAGAGGACTATAGACGCAAACTATTGGTGTGGATAGTTGTATTCTATTTTATTAAAATATTTAAGATGAAATAAAGAAGTGAAGTTGAAAATAAATAATAAAAACAATTGACAAATAAGAATACTTCAATGCAAATTCCAAAGATGACTTAATATTTTTATATAATTTTATTCAAGAAAATTTTATGCATGCACATACATACATATTTAAATATTTTAAAAATTTTTCAGTTTTCTGATCCAAAATTTCGTGTTGGTATTCCCCGAAAAGTAATATTACAAGAAAATTTATTTTGCAGGGTAATTTTTCACTCACACATCGACAAAAATGTATTTTGGCCCATAGTAAAAGTTCATTTGCATACGCCGAATTTCTCCGAAATGGATACTGGGTGGTGGTGTTATCTGTTGAAGCTTACGTGTAAAATTTCCATTTCTCAAAAATGATAAAAAACATAAAAATATAGTTGCTGAAGCTTAAAATACCCCAAAGCTGAACGATCTGTCATATCGCTAAATATAGACTCAAACATTTTTAGCAAAAAGTTTTGATCAAAATTCGTTCAGTCGAAATGGAGATAAAGGAGTGTTCAAACAGATATGGACTTTGTTGGACAAAAAGACTGACAAATAAACAGACAAAAAGAAGGTTTGCTAGATAAGCTTTTAAAGATGTATAATTCTAAATGTATAATTTATTGATGTTTCACTATGACGAAAAAATGCATCTACTGTGAAATTTGGCGCCTTCAAATAGACCTTCTTATTTTATGCAATTCGCCCGGTAATAAAAGAATTCGTTATAAATCGATTGTTTAGTAAAACTTGTCGCCACCTAAATAACACGTAATAAAAAGTAAGGAAAAATTCCACTCATGCTAAAGAAATTCAAACAAATTCATGGTATTGCGCAGTAAATTTTGCAATTTATCTGTGTAATATTAAATATTTATTGGAAATTATATCATCAAAAAAAAGATACATCGAATGAAAGAATGATAATAAATGGATAAAATAATTGAAAAATAAGGTATCGAAAAAAAAAAATAAAAATAATTTTTTTTTGGTAATGCAGCCACGTTATACTCGTATGTTTAGCTAGATACCTTTGTGCCACAAGCATTTAACAATATAATTGTATAGGGAGAAACAAAAAGGAATAAAGGTTATGAATTTGGAAAAACATTAAAGAAATCAAAATACATTTTTGGTAAACATACTAGTCAAACTAATAAAACGGAATAAACAGCATGTGAGTGAATTTAATGAGAGTATGACTTCATGGATAGTTGTATATACTTGCGACAACTTATATGTGCTCCTGATATGGTTTATTAATAAAAGCTGTTAGTGAGGTTTTAATTGCGAATTAGGCGAAATGTCAATGTAAGAAAGTTATGGTTCATTTATGTGGTTATGTAGTTTATTTTGATTTTTCAGAGAAGTTAATTTAATCAATAGGGATCGGAATTTCTTAACTTTTAGAGAGGTAAATATTTTAGAGGTAATTAAATTTGACAGAGGTAAATGTTGCAATTTTGATAACAATTTCCAAATGTTTATTTTATTACGAACTAACTTAGTTGGTAATTTTATCTTGAAATTTTAAATTATAATTAAAAAAATTCAACAATAACTCATTAGTAAACAAGTTGACCGTATTATTTTCTTGGTTGAATTTTTCGTATTATTGTACATATTTTATTTAACTTAATCATTAATAAGTACGTGTAGTAACAAATTCTGCTTTCGATTATTTTTCAGTTGCTGTTCGGTACTTGAATGATATACTTGAACTTAGTGCATGTATCTTTGAATTCTAACACTATTACAAAATTGATAAAATTATATATAATTTCAATGGAAAATATATCTTTAATCCAGCAACATAAAAAGAAAACATAAGTATTGAGCTACTGCAAGTTATCTAGTTAGAGCACGTTCGAATCGACAATTTATCATATACTGGCATGCCATTATGTAAAGGTCATCGAAATAAATGTTATTTCAAAACAGAGCCGAACTGGTCATATAACAAATTTAGTCAGTTCAACAATAAGTCATTTGATTATTTTAAATTTCATTAGCAGTCAAAATGACAATCTAGTGTTAAATAAATTTAAATTAGATAAGATTATAAAAAAAGGTTTTTGAAAATTAAAAAATTTTTAAATTTGTTCATTGAAATCAGGAATAATATTATTTTCATATCCAGTCAATCTACTTAAATTTAGCCAGGTGTTACTTAAACTTCTACGTTCTTACTTTAAATCATTATATTTCTTCGTTAAATTCATATTGTATTCATTTGTAATTAATTTTCTATTTTCTTTTAATTTTAAAAATAAAATTAGCTTTTTTTATTTGTGATGAAAAAAAATCTTATAGTTTTTTAACTTCAACTAAACTACTTAATGGCATTTACAGATAAAATGTACGAGAAAGTACTATCAACATTAGTTAATATAAAAGAAAAATAATTGGACTATAGTCCTTATTACTAACTACGTTAAAAATATAAAAAACAAAATTAATAAAAAATTAAAATTTAGCATAAAAGAAAAGTGAAAATTAATACTTTATTTATTGCTCATAATTGCATAGTGAGAAGAAGAAAAAACACTAAAATATATGTTAAATGCATTGTACATGTGTATGTAAAATGTAAAAGGACTCACCATATAGCATATCATCTAATTCGCCTTCTCTCTCTTTTAACATTATTTTCCAATATGACTTTAATTAGTTTTTGTTTTCTTTTTTCTTTTTTATATTTTTCCACTTATCCAAGGTAACAAGGTGAAAATAAAAACAATTTTTTTTTTATTTTCTTTGTATCTCTTTTTGGTTTTTTTTTGTTGTTGATTTCAAAAAGTTGTTCTAATTAGAAATTTTGTAAAAAAAATGTAAATTTGAAATTCTTGATTACATGTATTGTTTTCGTTCTTTTGAGGAGCAACTATATTTTTCTTTAAAATAAGCCAAAAGAAAAAATTTAAGTAAAAATTACATCCTTTTTTTTCAATCCCTGTGTGTATCCTTGTGTTCAATAGTGTTTTCTTTTTTTTGAAGATTTTGAAAATGAATGTCGCAAGAAATCAATTTATGAAACGTAATACATTAAAAAATTAATTCAGAGCATCTTTTTTATTAATGAACTTGAAATATTTCACAAAATTCCAAATAAATACAAAAGAAGTTACAAAAAAATTGTACATAATATGCGTGTCTTGTACACGTATACCAATTTTTTGCAATCGAAAAAATTTTTAATTCGATTGACATAAGCTTTCCATCAGAATTTATTTAATGGAATTTTCCTTTTTTAAGTAAGAAAAAACCCTCAAAATCAATGAAGTTTCTGTACTTCTACAATATTAAATTCGATTTTTGCTTCAATAGTAAAGAAAGAAAAATTTTTCAGCTAGTTTTTAAAGCATAATTTTTTTAAAATTCGCCAATCCCTGTTTAGAAAAATTAAAAGTTAAAAACTAAATAAAACTTCACGCAAAGATAAGCAATTAAAAATCTTTAACCAATATTTTTTCAAACAATTTTATTTGCAGGAAAAAAATATATTTTCAAGGATATTTTTTAAAATGTTTAATTTTTCAACTCAAAAGTGTGGATTCAAACTATTTTACAAAAAAAAAAAATTCTTTACCTTTCTTTCATAAAACTGTTTAATTAAAAAAAATTTTGTCAATTATTAAATTTTTTTTTTTAAATATTTTTCAAAGATTTTTTTGATATAAAATAATTTTTTTTTCTAAATACAACACAATAAATGAAATTTTTTTTTGTTTTATTGTAGCCGCGACACCATTTTGTTATAATTATTTCTCTTTAATACTGAGGAGAATATCCTTATGTATCGGTAACATAGAAAAAAGTTGTTAAATTAGAGTGTTGAGGGAAAGAGAATATTGATGAGTAACCATATAAAAAGAAAACATATAGTAGAGCTTTTTTAAATGCTTGTTTTAACAACAAAAGTGTGGTGAAAAGTATAAAAAAATTTTTCTGTTATTTACTTTGGTTTTCGGTTTCATCATTTTAAAAATGTTTTGGTAAACTATAGCTTATATACTCTTTTATAAATGAATAGGTTGAATTCAATAAGAGCGGCATTAGTTTTGTATCGGATGTCAAAGAAAATTTAATGCTGTTCTGTGACTTCAAAAATGTGCTTAAAACAAAATCTTTACATAGTACCTTATTCAAAAAATTTTGATGAAATAAGATATATGTAGAATGTTTAGCAGTAAAGCAAAATACGAGTACATAACATGATCAAATAAACACATTTTTTAAAGCATGCATGAATACTGTAAAAACTTTATTCAAAAACGTTGCAACTAAAAGCACTAAAAGCTTTGAGACGATTGTGGAACAGTTTTTTGTAAAATTTGTTATTAAAATTTTTTATAATTTTAAAACGTTTTCGAAGACACCTAAAGTTAGTCAAATAAAAACGAATTCTTACTAATCTTTTGTTTTCTTAACTTTTAAACCAAATTTTAATTTTCTTAACTATGTAAAATAATTCTAATTTAATTTTCTATAACAATCGCAAATTTAATTGGTTGCAGATTTTTAATTCACGTTGGTGGACCATGTCTCATCGGAAAACTCGTTATTAAACGAACCTTTTTCCTGACTTGAAGAGTGGGAAGAACCAATAAAACTACAATATTGTCCGAATGAATGCGCTTCCTCTGGTAAGTAGATAAAAATTGTAATTTTTAAATTATAATTCTTTAAGAAAATCTTTTTCCAATGAATCAAAGTAGTAAATTTTTCAGCAAAATTAGTTCCAACACCGTCAGTCATGTGTTGTTCACATGATTGGCTGTTCACATATGTATTTATATATGTATGTGCTTATATATTGTATGCCAATGTATGTATAACCTCAAAAATTGATTTTCAATGTTAAATAACAAAAACAAATAAAAGAAAAAGAGCTTTTTTTACATCATGTATTGCCTAGTTAACACAATTTTGTGTCCTTATTTTATTATGTACATACTTTTTTCCCTCTTGCTCCAATATTTAGAAGAGTAATCGTACATCTAGTTTTTATATTCTGATCTGACTTGTCTCATAAGATAAACATATTATTATCTATATATACATACATATAAATTTGTAATATATGACTCGGACTTTTTCTTTTTATGAATCTCTTTTTTTTTTGTAGTTTTGTTTTCTTCCATTTTGTATTTTTGAATATGAATTTTCCAGTGATGTAATTAATTAAATTTTGAAAGTTATTAGAAATAGAAAACCTATTTCATATACGTTTTGAAGAATAAGGTACCAACCATGCATGTCTAGATTTTAAGCGAAATAATTTAGATTTATAAACAACAATTAAACTTGCTTATTTGAAAAAAATGGTAAAAGTAAATAAAAAATGTGAAATCTCAAAATACTGTTCGTCTCTAATATAGGGCCACTCATGAAATTTAGGTATTATAAATTAAAAACACTTCTACTTCTTGGACTACCTAGTTAAGTTAAAGGAATTATAGCTTTCAATAAGAAAAATACTTTTCTGTTGCCTTCTTATTTCATTAGAATTTGAATTAAACGAATAATTTAAATAAATTCGGATGAAACTAATGTTGAAATTTTAATGTTAAAATATTGCATACAATCAGGATGAGGATAAAACTAAAGAAAGTCATAATAAATATAAAAATTTGATAAGATTTTTTAATTAATAGAAATAGAAATGAGTTGTTAAAATTAAAATTTATTTTAATTTTAAGACCCGCTGATTTATGACCATGATAAACCGGGAAAGATAATTGCTTCTATAACGAGATGAATCATTTGGAAATGTTAGAACTTGATTACGTAATTTTTTACGTGAGATTCATATATTTTTATAATTCCAGTTGAAGCTAGAAAAATGTGTTGAAAATGATGAGCTACTTTTAATGGTTTCAAAAAGAAATTATTCTACAAATTGTGGGATGTGAAATAAATTTTTAGCTTTTTTCAAGTGGATTTTGTACAGACAGTTTTTAAGAACATATGTACCTTATTACTAATAGTTATATTTTCATCTGAATGTACTCAATTAGAGAATATTAAAAGTATGTTTCTTTACCTTTAATTCATTTGATGTAAAATTCAACAAGTATTTAGATTAATTTTATTGTTAATTAATTCAGATCTTATAGCTAGAGATGTGTAGTAATATAGAGTAATCTAATTGTCAAGTAATTTTAAATTTTATTTTATTTTAGTTTTTAATGTTTTTTTCTCTTAGATTTAATATACAATAGAGTTAACAACAGAAAGTTTCAGTTATGCAAATAGCATAACGGAAATTATACGCATATTAAATTTAGACACTATAGTATTTTTGTACTAAAAGCAAAAGCATACCCCGCATTTTTTTTTGAATAAGCTATGTACTCGTATAAGCTTTACGTAATTTATTTTAATTACAATATCATCAGCAACAAGTCAATATATGTATATTTTAAAGAAATCGGGTCATGTAAATTTTAAATAAGCAGAATTGACCACGCGCCATTACAGCCCATCTGTTGTCTTTTACCCGGCAAATAGGACCTGAACAAACTTAGCTGGACATCATCCAATTGCAACTAGGACAGCTTACAAAGAAGTACATTATGGTCAACACAATTAAATGACTTCTGCAACTCAATCAATAAACAAGTAGTATATTTTTTTTATTTTCCATCAATACTATTTGTAATAAAGTCAGTTAAGGCAAAACAAGCTTCCATCGAGTTTTTCTGAAAGCCACACAATTTCCCATGTAAAATATTATTTGAATTCAAGAAGGAATTTTTGAAAACGAATTCAGAATTGAAATCGGGCGATAATTCGATGGATTTGTTTTATCACCGGCCGTGTATATCGAAATATATGGCGATTTTAATAATGTAAAAAATTTACGGAGAGACAAAAGGAGAAAGTGTCAAAGATTTTGGTGGAGAGTTAATTTAAGAATAATAATTAATGATATATTAATATTAGGGTTAAAAAAATTGCAGAGGTGCTCACCTGTGTATTGTAATTTAACAAAATTTGGTGAATCTTTATATTTACATACTTATTCAATTGCGAAAATAATTCGGTTTCAGATTTTTAAAATCATTATATAATAAAATAATTTTATATTAAATTATATTTTTGGTTTCTAATAGTAAAACCATTGAAATTGAGAAAATCATATTATGAAACATGCATGGCGTCAAAGAAATTTTCATGGTTTCAATATAATAAAAGACTTTCATGGTTGAGTAAAGCAAATTTAGAAGATTATCACGTGCCTATGATTTTCATTTAAACTCACTCCAATGAAAATTATAGTTATCTGGTTCTCAATATAGATATGAAAAATACATGAATTCATGTAAAAAGTTTTTTTTCCTTATAAAAAGTTCCTTTCAAGCTTTTTTTTTCTTTTTATTAAATTTTTACTATGTACGTTTTCGTATAAGCGTACAAATATATTTATATATGATCGTAGGTATATATAATAGAGCGCAAAACACATTTTGTAATTTTTTTATAGGTTTTTAATTTCATCAGTATAAATCGAGTCCTTCTTCATGCTGATGTCTAAAGATATTAACAGATTTTTAATAACTTTATGGAATTGGGAGGAAACCTAATCAAGTTAAAGAAGATTAAACTAAGAACTTTATAATTGAATTTTAACTTTTTTTCCCAAAGATTCACTATTAAGGATTCCCTTTTAACTTTTTAAGTCTTTGCTGATTTTTTTTCCTATAATAGAGCAAAAGATAATTGATATTTAGTTGAAATGTTAAAAAAGGTGCAAGTTAGACCAGATTATAAAATAAATATTTTGCCCTTCAAAATCATTATGCGGTTCACGTTGTCTATTATACCAAACTACATACATATAAATAATACGTAATTAGGTTTGTAATCAAAATTCAATAAGGATAATATTTTTAAGTATATGTGGCTTATATGTTTTAAATTTATGTGATTATTATTTTTATTATGATTATATAATAATTTCGAAGGTTATTTTTATGAGAAATGTTACGGTTTCATTTCGCAAACGCAAAATAGATATTAAAATGTTGTTATTCATGTACGTATACACGGTGATTCAGAAAGATATGCAACATCGTTTTTAGACGGTAAAAAATTGGCAAAACTTTTGTTTCGGAGAAGATGCTTGATCTTGAAAGATACAGCTTTAAACATAATTTCATTAAACTTCTATTTTGTTTTGCTTAAATTTTTTTGCTTTTAAGTTTCGTTCCAAAAAAATAGAAGTTTCAAACAAATAGCTTTCGAAAGAGCTAATAAAAAGCTTGAAAATAAGAGAGTACATTATTTATTCAGGTACTTTCCGAAAAACAAGTTTTGGAACTTGGGAAAATCTCTAATTTTTCCCATTTTTAATTTTTTAAATTCTTGAAAAAAATTTATACAGAAGTTTTCCCGATATTTCAGCTTTAATTAAAGCCGCCAAAAGGGCCATTTGAAGTCACAAAGTTACTTTTGATTTTGATTCAGAGATTTTTAAAAAAATATTTCCTTGGAGCTTCTATCTTTTTTGGAACCAGTTCCAAAACAAAAATTTTATACATTTTTGTTCATCTAATCAATTCTATTTATTGTTGTACACCAGTACACCTTTTTTAATCACTCTGTATATGGAGTATATGAGTGGAAGGTAAAATCACTAAGTGGTTTCCTTGAAATATAAAAATTGAGTTATACATTTATCGATCTTTCGATTAGCCTAAAATAAGAAAAATTGATCGGGATTTCAATATAAAA